TTTCCAATGATGATATCATTGCTTATCTTTATTAGAACCTCTAAGTAAACATATTCAACATGAATTAATTACATCCTTCTCTTCTCAGTTTCTCTGGCATTCACTGTTGTCAGGTCTCTTTCACTATTCCTTATCCCCACATTTATTCAGATGTTCCAGCCAGAAACACAAGGATCATCTGTAACTCTAGTTCCTCCCTCAACATGTAATAAAAAAACAAGCAAATTTAAGATTACATTCTCTTATCTTTCTAAATTATGTCCTTCCATCCCCAGTATCTTCATCATGGTTCAAGATATACAGATATTCTTTTCTGTTCTCCTCGACTCTATTTTAACCCATTCCATATTGGAGCTAGAGTACAGTTAAAAAATGCAAAACAACAGGGTTATCTATGCTTCCACCTAAAGCTCTTTAATGGCCTTATTATTATTTTTAAGGTAAAGTTCAAATTCTATAACACGACATACTACAATGGTATATCTATTTCTTATCTTTTCAGCTTCATCCTTTACCACACTTAAAAATAAAATAACATTTCAAAAAATCTCAAATTATACAAAACTTAAAGAACATTTCAAAAAGCCTCTCCCTTAGTAACTGGAATTATAAAGAAAATTTAAGGGAAATGAGATATAAAGATAACTCTAACATAAAGCAATAAATGAAAAGCACTATAAAAACTACATAACTAAAATGTTAAAAGGAACCCCGGACCAAACTTTTTGTCCAATTTATCAGAAAATCAGGGAAAATATTTTGATCAAGCCAAATATAAATTAATAATTTTAATTTATTAAATTATTGAAATCATTGAAAGTATTTAAATTATGCTTACTATTTGCAATTAATAATTAAATTTTACTTATGCTTTAGTGTATCTTTGCTTTTTCAAATTACAAATCATTCTGATTCTTTTACTTGTTTGACTTGAAAAACAAACCCTTAAGTGCATACGATATACAATCTTTATTAGCAATCTCAACTTTTCAGCATGTGGTCCTAGAATAGTTTGCATGTTTAAAAACACAAAAATCATGCATTTAAATAATGAAAAAATTTTAAGATAAAATTCTACCTTTCCCTCATCCATTGGATTATCACTTATATGGACAACAGGCCCTGGGTGAGATTTAGATGATCTAAGAAAAAAAAGAAAAGTTAAGATAGATATGTTTCTCAATTTAAAAATTTCAAAACAGATACATATTCATTGCAAGAATAAATAAATAAAGATTTACTTATAAAGGAAGAAAGCATTTCAGAAAGTATTCAATAACAGCTATATAGTTCTTAATAAGAATCACATTAGGAACCAGGGCAAATACACTACAAGTTACATTCAAGTTGATACATGTCAACTAAATATACAATTAAATACACTTTATATGTAGAAAAGAATTTTCAATTTAGTCGAAGATTTCAGCAAAGTAAACCCATTTTCCTGATAGAAACCTTAAAGTTAATATTTTTAAATAGTACAGCATTTGAAACATTAATATTTTATTTTACTAGTAGTCTCTAATTTGGGCATCTTGCCAAGTTCCAAAATTCTTACCAGAACAGGAAAAATTCTATTACATTTTTAAAAATTGACAAAGTAATGTCACCTATACTTCTATCAGAGGAAAAAGAAGTCATCTAGATAAGAATATGCCTGAAATGCTGATACATAAGGAAAAAGTATACCCCTTGTTCATAAATTCTATAGGCTAAAAAACCACTCTACTTTATGAAAGTTTATGAAATTGTAGCTGCCCAAACAAGGCCTACCCACTAGATGTCATGATCAAGTCAAAAAACAGACTCGAAAATCCACCTTACCAAGAAACTGACATATGCTAATGACATTCCTGCCATAGGAGGGAAAGCCAGTCTTAATACACTATTATAGCTACCCGGATACATTTAGAGACATGTCATAAAATTATCCTTGTATCAAAAAGACAAATATTGTAGGATGCAAAACAAGAGTATTTGTTTAAAAATAAAAGGAAACACTGAAAAAACATCTTGTTAATATCTTTAATCATTTATTTGCCTATCCAAACAACACAAGAAAAAAATGTGTAGAAAGATAAGACACAAAAAAAATCTTTAAGAGTGAAAAGTTAGCATGAAAGATCCTTAGGGACAAGTTTTTGTTAATATTGGTAAATAAAAAAAAATCATCACTGAATCAAAATTAAGTATAATTAATCTCATAATTAACTCTGTAATACATTCACTTCAGCAAATATCTGCATTATACTTATTGATTATTAAATCATATCAAAGAAGTACTGTAGATCAAGATCATCTAAATTCTGTGAGCCTATCTGTGAATCATGACAAACATTTAAAAGAAAAATTAAAAAGATTAAAGAATTTAAAAAAATCGTGTTCTTTAACTTATTAAAATTAAGATAATCTCATTAAATTTGTTCTGCAGTTTATACATATTTGAATATATGTACATGTAATGGTGTATATTAATCTATTTAAACATATAAAGCATTTAAATTTACAAACTGCCATGCCAATAGGATAATATTTACAAAAGACTAACAAATCCTAATTAGATATCAAGACATCTGACACATACTTAGTTTCATATGGATTTACTGATTGGCTATTTTAAAATGATATATCGAATAGAATACTGATACTTTATATATTGAACATTTGCTCAAACTCACAGTTCAATGGCTTTATTCCACATAATGACGTAGCCTGAGAGTGTGAAGGACTCCACATTGACAATATGTATATTACCTCGTTCAGTACCCACATAGAGCCACTTACTCTGGAAAGGTAGATGGCAAAATGTAACCCTGCAAGAGAAAATATATGTAAAAGGAAATAAGAAAAATGCCTGCCAAGATTTACTGACTGCATTAACGAGTTAATTATGATGTAGCGATTCAAGAGAAGCAAAAATGATATACAACCATTAGATGTATCTACTCATTGTGATTAATATTTAATTATGTTAAATCAACTTACACAAGGTCATATACCAAACAGATAGCATGGAATGTTTGAAAAAAAGAGGAGTTTTGAAGTTAGCATGTCTCAAATCTGGCTACATCACTCATTGTGTAACCTTTAACCTATAAGCTTTAATTCCAATACCTCTGGTGAAAATAAACAATGATGATAATACACAATAATATACAATGATAATAATCACTGTTGGACCATGAATAGTAATACTATGAATTAGATAAGATAAACTATGAAGAACATACATATGATCGGAATTCTACTGAATTTATAGATTGATTTGGGGAGAAGTGATATTTAAAGCTTTTTTATTCCTTCCTATGAAGTCCTACATTTGTTCAGAATTTCTTTCATCCTTCAGTGAAACTAATATTTTCTCCATACCAACCTTATATATATTTTTTTCATGATCTGCATTTTACCCTCTATTTCTTTCCATTTCCCTTTGTGTAACTATGCTTTTAAGTTTATATAGTACAATTTAAGGTTACATTCTACTGAGTTGTTTTTAAGTCCAATCTGAAAATCTCAAAATTTTAGTAGACAAATTTGGCATATTAACAATGATCTTGACTACTGATATCGTTGATCTTATTTCTTCCATCTTTTTATTCTCATCATTTATGTTTTGATGACCATTACTGATTCATTTTCTTCATTCTTTTTTCCCCTCCTCTGTTGGTTCTAATGTTTTATATTTTCTGTTCTTTTAATGGTTATTCTTATACTTTTAAAACACAGGTTTAACTGGATAGGTAGTCTAACATCTGAAACAATAATGGGGGACAGGAAGTATTAGGTAAGTGCTCTATTTTCTGAGTTCTATCAAAGGTGGCAAAGTTGTCAGTGAACAAAGACTTAACAGTAGTTCCATAAGATTATTGCCTAGTGCCATCTTCATTTAATACACTTTATGATGTTCATATTAGAATGAAAATAACAAAACATTTAACATGACATATTCTTATCATTAAGCAACGCATGACTGCATGTGTTGCAGTGATTTTTAGATATCAAATTTGTATTATTTTTTTACTGCTCTATAATAAATTACCACAAAATTAGTGGCTTAAAACAACACCCGTATATTATTCCACAGTTGCTGTTGGTCAGATGTCCAGACACTGCATGCCTAGGGTTCTCTGCTCAGGGACTTACAAAGCTGAAATCCAAGTACAGCCAAGTTGTATTCCTGTATCCCTCTGTGGAAGTGCTGAGAAAGAATGAATCTACTACTAAATTCATTCTGGTTGCTAGTAAAATCCAGCTTCTTACTTATGGGACTGAAACTTCATCTTCTTGCTGCCAGGGAGTACATTCTCAGCTCTTAGAGGTTATTTTGCATTCCTTACTATGTGATCCTCTCTATCTTCAAGGCCAGCAAGAAAATATCTAGAACCCAATGAATCCTTCTTACCCTCTGAAATTTTTACTAGGAAGAATCCTGGACATTTTGAAGGATTACCTGATTAAATCAGGCTTACTAACTTTGGAATTTATCAGCAAAATGCTTTTTCACCCAGCTGAATGAGTGTTTAAATTATGAGGAATAGGTATGTATATGCCAGAGACAGGTACCTTGGGACTCACCTTAGAATTCTGCCTGGGTATATGTGTAAGAGTAGAATTATTGGGTCATGGAATAGGTGAATACTGCCAAAAAATTTTCCAGAGTGATTTTAATACTTAAATTTCTCACAGGTAGGTTATGAGAAATTCATTGGCATTACACAATCTAGCCAATATTTTAGTCACTGCTGATGTGTAGTTGTGGTTTTAGTTGGTATCTTCCTGAAGACTGATTTTTGGGTAAAAAAGGAAACTGAAAAAAGAACATTGATTATTTTTTTAATCGTATGTTTTATAATAAACCTCTAAAATAGCATTCATTCATAGTGTGTATGTCTGGGACTCTGTTTTAATGTAAACTGTTCAAGCCATTTATCATTTTTCTTATCCCCAAACTTAGCATAATCCCTAGTATACAGGAGGTATCTAACATTTGGTGAACTAAACTTAATTTAGCTTCCAATACATAATGGTTTTTAAATTTTCAAATTTGAAACACTACTTCCATTTATATTTCTTCTAAGCCAGACAATAATGGTACAGGAGTCAGTCCTTTCAGCAATCTAAGTTACAATTTGACTGGGCTAATAATGCATTAGTACAGGTAGAAGAATTGCATGTGTTGTAACACTACCTATTATTAATCTACTTCACTTTTTTGTTCTAAACAAAAGAAAGTATTTTCACTCATTCATTCTTTTATTTATTTTTTAATAGGACTTAGTTTATTTTATTCATGAGTAGAATTAAATTATTATTATATTCACCTTTGGTTACATATCTCCTTTTCCATATAATTTTTTCATACTGTCAATACATTTTAAGGACCTTGTGCAACCAAATGAGTCCCTGGCCCTTCTCTTTGTCTGAATTTCTTAGTTATCATAGATAATTATTCTAGGAAGGTATAACTTTCCTTTACAGTTTCAGGGTCATCAAATCGTAACTGTCTTTCCTCTGAATATTAAACAAAAGGGTTTTTTTTCCTCCTTTTAAAATTTTGTCTGAATAAATGGTTCTTTATATGCACAATTCTTTAAATGATTCAACATTTCCATATCAATAACTAATTCTCTTTCTGGATTAGAATCAGACCAAATACAGTAAACCCTCTGTCTTCCTAACAGCCTTCGGTATCATTCCATGCCTATGTTCTAGTCTTTAATTTTGATCCATCAAAATCACTCTCACTTCTAATGATTGTAAACTTTCCATTAAAGTGCTTTCAAAGAAAATTATTTTGACAATATGATATAATTACCACAGAAATTGTAATTCTAGGTCTTTAATTTGTTCCAATATTGTGATTAGTTTTCTGCTTGCTTTTCTGTGTACAGTGAATTAAATCAAAATCTTCTTAAGACCTTTATAGGTTTTGTTTTGTTTTGTTTTTAGGATTGGTATTTGGCCTACTTCTCTTTTATAGCTGTCTTAGTTTTGCCCTGTTCATGGATATACTGAGTAAATTACAAGCTTTATAAACATACAAAATACAGTATTTATACAACATTATAATAAAATAATGATCAATGAGTTTTCTTTCTACATTGACTTATTTATGCTACTAAGAAAAATCTGATGCAAAGCAGTTCAGCCAGTTCCTGAAGTAACTTATAAAACTAATTATCCCACTGTTGTTTGGTATCTGAATGGATTATTCCATTTGTCAATGGCTATATTTTCTTAAAAGAACTCTGAGCCTGGTGTGGTGGTACACACCTGTAATTCCAGCAGGTCAGGAGGCAAAGGCAGGAGGAACACAAGTTCAAATACTCAGCAACTTTGGCATGCCCTAAGCTGTGAAACCCTGTATCAAAATGAAAAATTTTAAAAAGACTGGGGATGTGGCTCAGTTGCTAAGCACCCCTGGGTTCAATCGCTGGTACCAAAACAAACAAAAAAGACTTTGAACATGAATGCTTCACTGATATTTCAATTATAAGAAAATCCTGATTATTAATATATTTAATATAATATTGCATTTTCCTTTCTTTAGAATACATTCATGTTTATTTATTCTTTAATCTTAAAATATATTATCTGGAATCAAATGAAAGAGTCATATATAAACTGTAAATCAGAGTATTATTAACAAAAAGCCTTTAGAAATGTATAAGACTTAGCTGTTCGGGTGTTTAATAAACTTACAGGGAAAAATCCATTCTATAAAATATCAATAGGAAAGTTTTTATGACCACAGAGAATAAATTTTATGTGAAAGGATATCATCAACAATAAAGAACTATGTAATAAAGAGATGTAAGTATCAGATAATAACAAGTACTAAATACGTATATAACCTTGTCCTCAATCTTAAAATGCTTTATATTGTTATTTTAAAACTTGTGCAAAAATTTAACAAGGTTAAGAATATTGGTCATATTAACTTATAGTGATGAAAAAAGACCAGCAGAGAGTTGTAATATCAATCCATGTCTCCTTCCTAATTAAATGTCCTTTTAAGGGGGAAAAAAAATACAAGCCAAATGGAACATATTCTGATTCTGCAACTACCAGAAGTAACTTTATTTATCAAATTCACAGTTTTAACCAAAATCAAAGAACTATTTTTTATACATATAAATCCAACAAGGCATAATAATGAGGTAGACCAAGACGAAGCAGGGAGAAGATGATATATTAGTTTCTAGAGTTGTCTAAAACTAATTACCAGAAATGGGGTAAAAAAATAGAAATTCATTCTCCCACAGTTCTAGAAGTTGATGTCCAAAGACAGGGTGTCAGCAGAGCCACGATCTACCTGAAGTCTCTAGTGGAGAATCTGTTACATGCCTCTTTACTAGCTTCTGAAATTGCCAACTATCCCTGAACTCACTTGGTTTATAAATTCATTACTCCAGTCTTTTACCTCTGAGGTTATAGGATGTTCTCTCTGTGTATACAGCTTATGGTATGTGTCTTCATCTCTTGTTAAAAGAGAACAGTCAGATTAGTGCCCACCCTAATAACCTTTTATTAACATGATTACATCTGCAAAGATCTTAACTTCCAAACAAAGTCGAGTTCACAAGTACCAGGGGTTAAGACTTCAACATATCTTTTAGGGGGCAGAATTTGATCCATAGCAGGGGATGGGGCAGTAAAGGCCAGATCTCCAAAGTGCTCCACTAAGACATCCTTTTCAGGCAATGAGGATTTAGATGCTATAGATATTGGCAAATTAAGTTCATTTTGTAAAAATTATATGACTAGTGAATCCTTAATAGGAACTGAGCCTGGCAATCAACACAAAAAATTA